TTCAGTTTGAATTGCTTGAACATGAAATGACTGCGTAGACCGCACCAGGACGACAGTGCCAGTCACAAATGAGTTCCTGCTCAGTCCATATAACCGCCACCCGTAGAACAGCTGTACAGGGCACGACACTGTCGTCTGTGAGGCCATGTATTGAAGGGAGACTGTAGCTACTTACCTAGGCCAGTCATAATAGGCATGCTAAACCAGATGAGTCGCATATCGCCTACATGCTCGAAGTCTCCCCACTGGGCTGCGAATACAGAGAATCCGTCTCGAGACACAAGGATCAACTGCACGAGTTCAAGGATGTAAATCCCAAATACGAGGACTCTGGTAGGGACGCGGTCGGTCCGAAAAGCCAGTTGGTATATGTCTGGGAGATGTGAACGAATAGTGAGCAGATGGTGCGGAAGTCCACATACAAAGCTGGACCGTGAGCATCCCGAATAAACCCCAATTCAGGACCCACGTCAGGAGCTGAGAAAGGTTGAGTAGGAATCGCGTCGAATATAGGTAAGAGTGTGGCAGATTCACCATAGGGCCAAGCCTGTCCTCCGGATCAGTGACTTATATGTGATTTAAATGGGATTGCGTACTGTAGAGCCAGGTTAGGTATAGGTGTCGAAGGGGAAGGTGAGCTCGTCATCGTGTCTTTGCGGGATCAAAAGACCTAGTGCGTGAGGGTACAATGATGTGCGAGCACTTACACCGTTTCTTATATCCCGTGAGAAGGGGATCAACAGTGTTCGGGTAGGCATACAGCGGCAGGAGCACCTGACATGCTGGGCAGCAAAGCGCAGCGCATTTATGCCATGAAAGCTTGCTTCTACAGGGTAAGAAGATGAACTAAGAACAGGATTGAAACCCAAAACACCTGTAAAGATGTTCCGAGAGCATATCATGAACGTTAGCGTGCGTGAGGGCGGGTGATCACGAGATGGCTATGCGAGGAAGCACTCGTGTACTTACAAGTCGCCATGATGCCAACCCTCGTACCAGTTCGACATTATGTAGGGTGCAATCAGGGTGCACTATTCGCAGCCCCAGCGCTCCCACTGGAAGTTCTCGCAATCAAGTGGAGCAGAACTTCACCCAAAACATGCGCACCTGGATGTAGATCCTACAGATGCCGGTTGCGAGGCGCCTTGAAACTTAGTTGCTCCCACTGGATCGACTGTCACAGAGCTGCAAAGAATATTGAGCGCGATTAGAACTAATGACGAGCGCCACGAAATCTGAAGTGGCTCACGATAGTAGACTGCAGGTACATATCGCGGTTGACATTGAGAGCGGCTGTCAGTGACACAACAGAGTTGCTCGAAAAGGACGACAAGCTCGAATTCCATCGAGGTGGCTAGATTGAACGCCAAATCTTCGGAGAAGAAGGCATTAGCTTCCTGTTGTTTTATGTCTTTGGGTCAGAAACGGACTACGTAATGCACAGATCGCGTCAGCGAACTTCAGCTGAGATATTTTATCATAAGAATCATGAACTGCTCACCGGAGATATCAAGAACTCGACGCGCATTCTGTCATGTGTCGATCTGAACAGGTCTTGCTATTTATGAAGAGGCACCGAGATCATTTCCACTTGGCTGTCAATGTCGTATGAGTGGGTAGCCAAGCTTCGATGACACTGGCGATGACAAAGTTTGCTATCGTATGTGACTCGTCTAGAGTCTGAAGATGACCGTGGATTGAACGCGTTGATGAAATAATGCAAAGCGATCAGTTCAGTTATGTTGACGAACGCATTCGAATTGAACCCACGGTCGCACGATTGTGGGCTCATTGCACATCGCAATCATTAATTTGCATTGCCGGGATAGCTCAGTAGGGAGAGCAGCAGACTGAAGGGATTTAGTTTAAGCAGAGTGCCACTCAATTTCAATAGGCATCACGGATGTGGAATGTCCAAGGCAGCACCGCGTCCTTGACAAACAAGTAGACAGGTAGAAGTCAAGTGACGAGCCCTGTAGCCGGCTTGCCAAGAAGGTTTCTCAGAACCCGCACCGTGACTTTTGGCCATGAACTCATTGCACACCGTCGCGGTACGATGGGGAATCGTCCGTGCGATACGGTGCATTGTCTAGCTGACAACGTGAATAGAACGTGAATACATGACATGGTCTAAACACACTGCAGCTAACCTTGGAACTCTCAACAGCATCACCTGGCGGTGGCGAGTCGTCCCATTTGACATTTGAGATTTTGGCTATGTTAACAGCCTGAGGAGTACCGTTATGGATATTCGCAGATGTGCCGAATGCGTCGAGATGAACACCATCATTTGAAGAGTTATGGTTGGTCGAAAGGAAGTGTATACCACTGACGTCCGCTGCGGCAATCTGACCGTTTGAGAATCGGAGACGCGAGTTTAAGACCTGTTTACAGAAAAATGGTAAGTTCTGGTGCCCTGCGCATCAATTTCAAGGACACCAACCGCAAGGAGTGAATTGGAGTAAAGTTTGGGGACCACTCCAAGACACAGCGCATAGAGGAGGGTGTTCCTTGAAGTAGCGAAAAAGATAGCTTCAAGTACAGCGAAGGTGGAGGTGATCAAGCCCGTCTCAACGGTGTACCGGATGAGGCGAGACAATAGGTCATTGGTCCTTGAAATCGTAATCTGTGTTTTGGCCCTCCAAAGATAAAAGGTCATGAACACTGTGATGAGCAAGTCACAGAGCACTGTGGCCGCTAGCCATAACTCCAAACACGATAGATCAGCATTGTAGTAGATATGTATCGCACAACAAGACGTACCAATGTGACGGTGAATGATCTTGTGTGAGCGACTGCGACAATGAGCGGATGCGGTGTACTTCGGACGACCTTCAGACGTACCTGCTTGAAGATTACCAGCGGCGTGAACCTCGATACCATCCCAGATTGCAAACGCGAATTGTAAGATAGCCGCCTGCATCGCGTCAGTGGTACATGTTTCAGTATGAACTTTATGAGAATTAGATGACCGTGCAGACCGCACCAGGACGACAGTGCCAGTCACAAATAAGTTCTTGCTCAGTCCATATAATCGCCATGCATAGAATAGCTGCACAGGGCACGACACTGCTATCTGTGAGGCCATGTTTCGAATGGAGAGGGTAGGTGCCTACCTAGGCCAGTCATGATAGGCATGCTAAACCAGAGGAGTCGGATGTCGCCTAGATGCTCGAATTCTCCCCATTGAGCTGCGAATATGGCGAATCCGTCCCGAGTAACAAGGACCAATTGCACGAGTTCAAGGATGTAGATCCCAAATACCAGGGTCTTGATATGGACGCGGTCGGTCCGAAAAGCCAAGTGGTATATGTCTGGGAGACGTGAACAGAGAGTGAGCAAATGGATGCGAAGGTCCACGTACAAAGCTGGACAGTGAGCATCCCGAATAGACCCCAATTCAAGACCCATGTCAAGAGCTGATGAAAGTTGAGTAAAGTTGAATATAGGTGATTTGAAGTACGGTAGATTCACCATAGGACCAAGCCTGTACTCTGAATCAGTGACTTGAACTTGTGCGTTTGTAAGATAGGATCACGTACTGTAAGGTGAGGTTGAGCATGGGTATTGAGGGGGAAGTTAAGCTTGCCAACGTGTCCCTGCAGAACCAAAAGAGCTGTTCTCGTGAGGATGTCGTGACGCGCGAGCATATACCCTACGTTTTATATCGTGGATGATCAGTGTGCGGGGCAAGCATACAGCGGCTGGGGCATCTGACATGCCGTGCGGTACAGCGCGCAATGCACTTCTGCCATGAGAGCTTGCTTCTATTGGGTCACAACAAGCTTGAAAACCTAAAAAGGTGTGCGTATCGCCCACGAAATGTCTGTAACGATGTTCCGCGAGGATTTCACCGCACGCCACTAGCGTGCGTGAGGGCGGCTTATCACAAGATGGCTATGTGAGGAAGCACTCGTGTACGAGTTGCCATGATGCCAACTTTTGTACCGGTCTGTACATCATCGAACTTGAGCCTTGGTTGCTCCCACCGGACCGACTTCAATTTACAGAGCTGCAAAGAATGGCGATTAGAATCAAGAAGAAGCGCTACAAAATCTGAAGTGGCTCACGACAGAACGCAGGTACACATCGTTCTCAAGCCTTGACACTGAGAGCGGCTGTCAATGACACAACGGAGAAGGGCGGAAAACTCAAACACCAGGAAGAGACTAGATTGAACACCGAATCTCCCGAGAAGGCATTGGCGTCCTGTCAATTTGATGACTTTTGTATCGGAACGGACTATACAGCGTCAGCGAAGCAGGTGAGATTTTATCATAGGAACCATGAACCGCTCACCGACCATGCCAGGAATTCGACGCGTACTCGACTCGGACCATATGTCTGTCTGAGCAAGGTTTTGCGATAATTCTGATGAGCACCGGAATCGTTTGCACTTGATTGTCGATGTCGTACACGTAGCGGCGTAGGAACGTAGCCAAGCTTCGATGACATCGTCACCGATGTCCAAGATCGCTATCAGAGCTACGACGAGTATCCTAGAAGCCTCAACGGCGACTCTGAATCGCGGAAGGCGCCCTCGGCCCCCAGGATCCAACTTGAATGGTCTCTCCAGTGGTCTCTCCTCGAGCTTGCAGTGTCATCAGCTTGAAGCGATGCCGACGCACATTGGAGATGTATTCACGGGCTGAAGTTTGATTGGATCCAGAGCCGTGCAACTTGGCAGATGATGAAGCTTTTAATCACCAGGGGTTAGAACGTACAGACACAAAGTACTTATGGGCGTACCAGTCCTTGCTCACAAGCCGCAAGTTTGGCAGCCAGGCCGGCCGGAATCGTTCGTGTTTGGATTTCGGTGTCGTAGATTCGACGACACTGACAATGACGAGTCAAGGCAGTCAATGTGTACGCATGCTGTCCGTCTAGAGCATGACCGTGGATTGAACGCGACGATGAGATGTTGTGGGGTTCAAAATTGCGGGTCGCGTTCAGTCCACGGTCTCGGGCTAATGGCAATACAATGACCCACCGACTTCATCGCCGGGATAGCTCAGTTGGGAGAGCAGCAGACTGAAGGCACCGTGGGCTGAACAGGTCTACCACTGCATTCTGAAGGTCCCGTGTTCAATCCACGGTCCTGGCATTCGTTTTTACATTTTTACTGGGTGTCACGTCAATAAGAACATCCGTGGCTGGTTGAAAAAAGCATCCTCGATGCCAAAAGGCGTGTTTTCGAGGACTTTTTGTAGCTTGTTAACGTTGGACGCACTGCAGATTAGGCGCTGTGGCGCGCAAGGATGATTGTGAATCTGATGCACGCGATCGGAAATCACCACCTCGCGCATTCATCGTTCGCCGTTCCGACAAAGTTCGTAATCCCATTTGCACCGAATATGACCTAATATGACCCACAAGTATAGAATAGATGAAACAGGAACAGTATCATCTACAGCTGCTCGGCAGGGTTCGGAACCACAGGCGATACGAACGAGAGGTCGGTTGGAGTGCTTGGCTCCTGCTTCGAATTCTCCAGCTTCACGCGTTTGCGACGACGGCCGGATTCTCCACGCTCGCCATGGGTGACTTTGATGTGGCGTTTGAGGAGGTCTTGACGAACGAAGCTCTTCTCCTGGTACGGTGCGCAGATGTAGCAGACGTAGGGCTTGATTCCACCGTGGCTGGTCGTGTGGCGTTTGCATTCGTTCTTGCGAAGGAACTTCATGTCACTGGTGGTGGAAATTGTAAGCCTCTTCAATGTGCGAGCTGGTAAGCAGGACATACCAGTGATCGCACTGGAAAGGGCGAAACTCAACGTGAGAGCCGACGTGCACTAGAATGTGGTCCCGACGTTTGTTGGTCTGTGAGCAGCCCTTCACGTAGCAGCGAAACTCGGTCAGGCGATTGCCCGACTCAGAAAGCTTTCCAGCATAGGTTGCGAGCCAGGACTTGTCGATGTCCTCACCAGGGTGTTGTGCGCGAAATTCTTCAGCCTTGGCACGAAGGTCTGCCAGCTCGATGCCGAGATGAGCACCAAAGAGATGGTTCCCGTTGACACTGGCAGAGGAGGTGATGTCGCCTAAGGGTAAGCGAGGACTGGTCGGGCTTGCTTTGACGAGCTGAGGCGTGAGCAAGAGAGGCGATCGGGGAGACATCAAGGACTGAATGCTAAGGAGGCTGGCAGGGTTCGGAGAAGGTGCGCATGAGATAGTGCCTGAGCGCGTAGGAAGAGCCGGGACGGGGAGACCTCGAGCATTGGAGTACGGGCGAAGGATGGGTGTGGACACGGCTGACCGCGTAGCAGGTATACTGGGAGTCTGGGGTTCTTCTTTCGCGATCACAGAGGATGACAAGACAGAGACGATGGCCTCGACGTCAGCCTCCGTGTACTCGATCGCGTCCTCCGCTCCTGCATCGTCCACTTCCGGTACGAAGTCAGCCTCCGGAGCAGGGCTAGGATACTGCAGGAGCTCCTCCTTCTCCTGCCCCTTGCTTTCCGTCGGTTGGTCCGTATCTTGATCGCGTGAGTAGTCCATGAGCAGAGCGGGGTTGATGCCGAACGTCGGAGAGCGTTGGCTGAGCACAAACTCGTGCATATTGAAGTCCGCAAACAGTCCAATCAAGGGTTCGGTAGGAGAGCCGTGGTTCTTGAGAGGCGAGGCGGGAACAGAGGGTACTGAGCGTGATGCGAAGTTGTCCTTCATCACGATATCTGTGCTGGGCGACAGTTCGACGAATCTACTTTCATCGTCGCCCTCGGGAAGATGCGCCGTATAGTCGTCGGCCGGGCAAGTAGAATAGGCGTTTCCTGGGTCGTAAGCCGGGGGAGAAGGAGACAGATCCATAGAAAAGTTCTCGTACAGAGGGGAAGCGCATGGGCTGTCATCGAAGGGCGACCAGATGGTGGGGTCTTCAAAGCCGAGTTCGCGGAGAGACGGGAGCCTGGGATTGCTTGCGCGGGTCAGCGTCACGGAAGGTAAACGAAGAGGGAACGCAATCGATGGTTGAGCAACGGCAGACGAGATCTGGGCTCCAAAATCAGAGGGAGAGGGGACGAAAGAGATTCCGAGGCCGGTGAGAGGTGGGCGGGTGGGCGTGCTCGCTTGGAACGTTTGATACCATGGTTGCGGAGGGCGAAGAGTGAGCTCCGTCGGGGAGATAAAAGTAGAGAGTTTGAGAGACAGTGGATTGTTGGCTGGTTGCCTGAAGTGACTGTTGAATTGGGGCGATTGCGCCGCCAGGGTCGCGGGCTGTTGGAAGGAGCGTAGGTTTGGGTTGTTGGCCGGAGTTCCAGAGACAAAGCTATAGTCGTAGGAGCGCTTCATGGTTGAGATCCTAGAGTGTCGTAAAAGTCCCGTAAAAAAAGAGAAACAAAAGGAATAGAGATGGGTTAGAATAGAGAAAAGTAGGAGTGTTGAATGAGAGTAGGGATGTTGTGGAAGTCCGGGTCAGCCGCAGAACAGGCGCCAAACTCGAACTTGGTTTTGACTTCCATTGTGTGGCCTTATTTGGCCAAGTGAGCGCCCCTCGACGCGTCGCGCTCACTGCAGAGCTTTCTGCTCTTCCTACTCCCTCCTGGATATGAACCGTGTCTTTCTCGCCAGAGCCTCCTTTCGCTCGCCTCGCGTTCCCAAGATCTACTCTCCTCGGAATCTGTCAAACCATGCACCAAAAGACTCAAAATCAAGCCGGAGTACTTCGGTGGCAGTTGCAGCTGCTCTAGGTGGCGCGACGTTGGTGTCTGCGTACTTCTTCTGGCCGGACAATTCACGTTCAGCACCAACATATGGACACGCCAAACTCTCTCCGACCCACTTCACTCCAGTTACTGTCACTGCCAGCGAGCCAACCACGAACCCGAACGCACGTCTCGTCACGCTCAGAGTCCCCCAACAATCCCTTCCCGACACGCATGACGCGTCGTTCTCTTCCATCTGGTCGATATACATCAAGGATGACGATATCCAAGTCGAACGACCTTACACTCCACTTGAAGGGATTGACGAACACGGCAACATGAAATTCTGGATCAAGCGGTATCCTAAAGGAGAAGTTGGACGGTGGATACTGTCTAAAGAAGTTGGAGACCAAATTGAGATTCGGGGGCCGCTGAAGACGTGGCCATGGCAAGAAGAGCAGTGGGATGAAATTGTCATGGTATGTCGTGTCGTCTCTACCCGATGATGGCGAAAGTTCATCTGACTGACGATAAGGTCTCAGGAGGAACCGGCATAACACCTTTCTATCAACTTCTGCACCACGGGCTATTTTCGCGATCGCCTGAATCGTTGTCCAAGACACGGTTCACGCTACTGCATTCATTCCGAACACCAGAGGAGCTCCCACCGCCCGAAATAATTGAGCCTATTATATCGTACGCCGAGACACATCCCACTCGGCTGGATTTCTCACTTTACGTGGACTCTTTGAACGGCGACAACGCATCTTCAATCGCACGACGTGGCCTGCAAGAAGGGCGGATCGGCAGGCGTGCCTTGGAGACCGCCATTGGAATAGACGTGGACAGCTCGTGGTGGCAGAGACTATGTAGATCTCGCCGTCTCACCCAGCGTGTCAGTACGAGCGATCGGAAGGTGTTGTTCCTTGTGTGTGGACCTGAACCGTGAGTGCCCCGCCGACGGTGAAGCAGTGCTTGTACTAATACACTCTTCTCATGTCAACACAGGATGGTGGCGGCTATAGCAGGGCCATTCGGTCGGAATATGTCGCAGGGGCCGGTAGGGGGAATCCTGGGTGAAATGGGATATAAGAGTGATCAAGTGTGGAAGCTTTGATAGTGGTGGGGATTTGTTCTTGGACGAGCTCCCCACCGTACGTCGGAGGTCGTGTGAATAGATGCTGTTTGCATGAAACGTCGTCGTTGCGGATGTTGTCCGGGTGACAGATCCAGGACGACCCAGGATAGCCCTTGGGATGTTCAGGACCTTCAAGTCACCCCAAGCGTCGCGGTATGAGCTCATTCTGTGAATGCGACACGTCCAATATTCGTGGCCAGAACCTGCTGCTAACCCCGCAACAATCGGCCGAACTGAGTCTACGTGACCGTCGATTTGGTGGGGTGTGACAGCGCTGTGACGCAGCGTGACATCACTCAAAGCACAGGTGCGCCCGTGACAATGCATGACTGGAATGGACCGGGGCGCCGAGAGGGTGTGACATGAAAGAGCTTATTGCCTTACCAAGCACTGGTCGCTGATTCGTGCCCATCGTCTCTCCGTCTCGCCTTATAACCTCACCCGCCTCCCCGTCCCTTTTCCTCGTCCAATCACCTCCCTTCCAAATGGCCCCCACTGCCGTCTACACCCCCGCCGTTCCTCTCAGCGCGCACCAGGCCGCTCCAGTGAAGGGTGCAGCCCTCGCTATCGGCTCACCAAGCACTGCAGGGGACGGCAAATACCAGTCACTCGTGTCCGATCTAGAGGCCACGAGGAAGGTCGATAAATACATGCTAGATCGTCTCCTTGACGGAGGTTCGAAGTTTCTCTTTACATTCGCCGAATATACCCCTCATCTCACGGTACTGTGGTCTGTATTTTAGCATCTACTTTGAACCCATCTAGTTACGCCTCCGTACACATTGCACTGTCCCCTTCCGATTACGATGCGCTATCACCACGCGTGCAAGAGCTTCTGACCCAGATCCTGCCTAGCCTTGAACCTTCGGGCACACTGCACATCTCAAACCTCTCCTCGTCCCTCTCTACTCTCCCTTCCACACTCACCCTCGTCGGGTTCACAATCCTTTCTCACTCAGCTCAAGAAGGTTCCATCATCGCTCAAAAGCCCGCACACGCTGCCGGTGCATCCCTCTCGCTCAAGAGCAATGGCTCTGGTGCATTGCCCCTCCGTCGAAAGGCCAACCCAGAACGCCAGGCGAGCAAGAAGGCTCTGTGGACGTTGACCTCCCCCTCCACACCGCCGATCAACGCTGAAGCCCTCCTGACCGAAGCGGATCGCAAGCGACCGATTCCCACCTGCGAGCCTTACAACCCTGACGCACCTCGGCGGAAGAAGGCGTGCAAGGGCTGCTCATGTGGTCTTGCGGAGTTGGAGGCTGAGGAAGCTGCTCAGGGTAAAGTGGTGGTGCTGAATGGTGCGGAAGGTGGTGAGGCCGTGGAAGTTGCG